GGTACAGTTGAACCCGGGACCCTTTGGTCCGCAAGCCAACGCTCTATCGACTGACCCAAACTGGCTAGGGCTTCAATGATATTCTTGATGACATTCTTTAAAATGAAACTAACTAGAAAATAACTCCTGACCCCTCAATTGCACTTTTTTTTTTTTTTAGAGAACACTTATTGGGTAAATCACAGAGGTAGAAGAAGTAACTCCTAGAAGAAATTCAATGATGTTCTTGATGACATTCGTTAAAATGAAACTAACTAGAAAATAACCCCTGACCCCTCTATTGCACTTTTATTTTTTATTTTTAAGAGAACACTTATTGGGTAAATCACAGAGGTAGAAGAAGTAACTCCTAGAAGAAATGGACTTAGGAAACAAGTGATAAGAGGGGAAAAAAGGACCCCTGGAGCTTGGGAGTGAGGAAGCTAACGGGGACGTGTGTGGGGCAGGGAGGGGTTAGGAGAAGGGAAAGGGAACTGCAGGTGTGGCACAGAGACAAGGGCTCCCCCAAGGCCACACTGGTTGCTGGCCCTGGGCTCACCAGGCAGCTCAGTTGGTTAGAGCGTCCTCCCATCCGCCAAGGTTTCAGGTTTGATCCCCAGTCAGGGCACATACAAGAAGCAACCAATGAATGCATAAATAAATGGAACAATAAATTGATGTTTCTTTCTCTCTCCTTTCCTTTCTCTTCCCCCACCCTTTCCTTTTTCTCTCTCCCTCCTCTCTCTTTTTCTCTTTCGCTCCCCTCTCTTTTCCTCTGTCTCTCCCTCTCTCATTTCCTCTCTCTCAAATCAACAAGTAAATAATTTCTTTAAAAATACCAAACCCATTTCAACCAACGTTCAAGAATCATGCAGCAACTAGGCTCCCAGTTCAAATGTATTCCATGACATTAGCAAGGGTAGATACAAATAAATCAAAATTATTAAGCCATTAGACAAAGTAAATAAGACAAGGCAGAAATGAGCTGAAGTTAAAAAAAAAAGTAAACAAGGAAGATGGAAAATTTAAGTAACCTGCCTATTGATCCCACTTATATCTGCATCCACATGCCATCAGGTTATCAAATTCTGTTTTGGTGTACTGTTGAATTACTTTTGGCTTCATTCATGTACAAGAAACTAATTCTCTAACCCAATAAAAGACCACAGTGGTAATTTGTATTCAGAAGAAAGATGAGTGAGAACATAATTCCTACCTTTCACCCATCCTTATAGACCTAGTTTCTGGCATTATGCCAAAATGTACCAAAATGCCTCTTCATTCACTCAACAAATATTTATTGAGCACCCACTATGTACCAGGCACAATTCTTTGTGTGTATGTGTGGCAACTTTTAAAATTTAGAATCTTGGTCATGAGGGCTTAAGATACAAAGGAATTGATGCATACCTATTTGGAAACTTTAAAAAAAATATATATTTTACTCATTGTTTACAGAGAGGAAGGGAAAGGGATAGAGAGTTAGAAACATCGATGAGAGAAACATCAATCAGCTGCCTCCTGCATACTCCCTACTGGGTATGTGCCCACAACCAAGGTACGTGCCCTTGACCGGAATCGAACCTGGGACCCTTGTTTCCTTAGACCAAAGTTCTATCCACTGAGCCAAACCGGTTAGGGCTGGAAACTTGTTGAATACTGTAACTACACAAACTCCACCACTTTTTTAAATGTGTGTGATATAAGGACACTTAACATAAAATCTACTCTCTGAACAAAATTTGAAAGAATATGACAGTATTATTAATTGTAGTGGCAATGTTGTATAGCAACTCTCTAGAACAGTGGTTCTCAACCTTCTGGCCCTTTAAATACAGTTCCTCATGTTGTGACCCAACCATAAAATTATTTTTGTTGCTACTTCATAACTGTAATGTTGCTACAGTTATGAATTGTAATGTAAATATCTGATATGCAGGATGGTCTTAGGCAACCCCTGTGAAAGGGTCGTTCGACCGCCAAAGGGGTCGCGACCCACAGGTTGAGAACCGCTGCTCTAGAACTTGCTCATTCTGCATACATTAAATTTTATACCCATTGCACAGCAAATCCCCACTTCTCCCTCCCCAGCCCCTGGCAACCACCATCCTACTTTCTGTTTCCATGAGTTTGAACTATTTTAGGTACCTCATGTAAGTGAAATCATGCCGCATTTGCCTTTCTGTGACTGGCTTGCTTCAGTTGGCATAATGTCCTTCAGGTTTATCCATCTTGTTACATTTGACAGAATTTTCTTCTTTTTCCTAAGCACAGTTCTAAAAGCTGAAAATATATTTGAAAATAAAAATCTCTGCTATTAAGGAGGTCATTCTAGCAAGGAGAGAATAATGATAGTGGAAATAAGTGTGAAGGGGATCAGAACTGCCAGAGCTGGAAGGATTGAATATAGGTAGTGAGCATAGGGCAACATTTGAGTAAATATTTGAAGAAGATAAAGATGAATATAGGAATGCCCAGAAAAAAAAAAAAACTTTCTGAGCAGAGAAAACATCAATGCAAAGAATTCTGAGATGGGATCATGGCTGACACATTCAAAAAACAGCAAGGAGCCCTGGCTGGTTTGGCTGAGTGGATAGAGGATCGGCCTGCAGACTGAAGGGTCCCAGGTTTGATTCCGGTCAGGGGCACATGCCCGGGTTGCAGGCTCCATCCCCAGTAGGGGGCGTGCAGGAAGCAGCCGATCGATGATTCTCTCTCATCATTGATGTTTTTATTTCTCTCTCTCTCCCTCCCTTCCTCTCTGAAATCAATAAAAATATATATTTTTTAAAAGATTTAAAAAAACATATCAAGAAGGCCACAGGGACTGGAACAAACAGAATAAAGGGGAAGGTAGGAGGAGATGATGTCAGAGAGGATAACCAGAGATAGACTGAGTAGTCTTACAGCTCAATGTGAGGATGTCAGCTTTTACTGTGAGTGCATTGGGGGCCATTGCGGGCTTTGAGCAATCTCATCCACAAAACAAAATACAAACAGGCATTCGTGCACCAGACTTGTTTTCTTACCAGAAACATGGTCAGGTGGGCCTGTCCCACCTGTCTAAGAACCTCCTTCCCATAAATTTTCCTCTCATTCAGAGTTGGAGGGGTCACCCCAAAGAACTTCCTGCACCCCTTCTCTGTCACCGCCAAAGATGAGACGGGAACACCGCATCAATCCCTTGGAAGGGACGGGACAAGTGAGAGGGAGTCCTGCTGCTCACAGAGAGGAAATGATGAAAAAGGTGGGATGTAGCAGACATGCTCCAGCCATCGGTGCCTTGTTGCCATAGCACTTTCGTAAACATTGTGATATAAAACACATAGAGACAAAATTGACCAACCTACCCATTTGAAAATGTACTGTACAGTTACCTATACGCCCGTGGTTATGCCACGGCCCTCTGGAACTTTCCACCTTGCAGAACTGAGGCTCAATAGGGAGCTGAACAGCCCTGCCTTTCCCTCCCCAGGCCCTCAGCCACCAAGCGAGTTCCAGTCTCTAATAGTTTGACTACCTCCTATAGGCGGAATAATGCAGGACACACTTGTCTTCCTGTGACCGGCTTATTCCTCTCGGCATCATGTCCTCAGGTCCGTCCTTATGGTGGAACACTGCAGAACCTCCTCCTTGCGAAAGGCCGGATGGTATTCCCTGTGAAGTGTGTGCCGCATGCTAGTATTCTTCATCCATCACCGGGGAGGGGCCTCTCTCTGTTCCGATGGGGCCCCAGTGAGCACAGGAGTGCTGGTCGCTGAGCTCTCGGTTCATTCGCATAGACGCCCAGAGGTGGACCTGCTGGGTCCACGGTGGCTCTACTTTCAATCATTCGAGGAACATCCACACGGTTGTCCACAGCGGCTGCGCCAATTCACATTTCTACATTCGTACTTGCTTTTCGGTTGTTGCTTTTTCGAACTGGTCATCCTAACCGTGTGAGGCGGCGTCCCTTTGTGGTTTTGACTTGCATTTCCCGATGATGGTGGGCATGTTTCCAGAAGCTTGTTGGCCGTTTGTGTAGATGGTTTTTTAATGGGGTTTGCTTTTGTTGTTGAGTTATTGGGAGTTCTTTGCAAATCCTTTTTTCCCCATTTATTTATTTATTCATTCATTCATTAATCCTCACTCGAGGATATTTTCCCACTGATTTTTGGAGAATGGAAGGGAGAGTGAAGGACAGAGAGAACAACATGGATGCGTCTCTCACATCCGTTGGTTGCCTCCCCGCGGCCCCAAACAGGCCGGGGATTGAGCCCCGAACCCTTCAGTCCGCAGGCCGACGCTCTACCCACTGAGCCACACTGGCTAGGGCGTCCCCTTTATTTTAATTATAAAAATCAGGGCAATTGTTCTATAAACATGATTGAGCTAAAAAGTATTACCCGGGAGCGGATTAGTTACCGGAGAAACAGAAATGAAACCTGGAGATGAGATTTCACCATTTGAACTTGTACTCCTGCTGTCTGTGTCAGGAACCCTTATCAGATACGTGGTTTGGCCGCATTTCCTCACTCCCCGTGGTCCCCTTTTGACTCGGCTGTCCCAGCGGCGCCGCAACCGGCCATGCTTTACCGCCAACGCCGCTGCGCAAGTCAGGAGGCTGCACCGCACGGCCTTCTGGGGGTTGTAGTCCAGACCCAGGAGGGTGGAAGTCGCAGAACTTTTTTTCTAATGGACCGGGTCGGAATGGGATTCCCATTGGGTGGGGCTGGAATGGACCACTGCCTGGTCCTCATTAGCAGAGACTGATAGTTAATACAGTGCTTGGCTCTGGGGTAGGCCCACCGGCCGCCTCGGCCTCCGACGCAGGCCACGCCCTCCCTCCTTTAGCCTGTCCCCGCCCCTCGGCGCTCGGGG